CCATGTTAATCTTTTGCAGTAGAGGGCACCAGAGTGATATTTCAGGAAGAGGAGCCTGTTGTCATTTCCAGCTGGGGTCAGCAAGATGGATAAGAGCCAGCAAAGTCTGTCTCTACCTCAGGTCCAGAAAACAATCTCTTTGCAACCATGTAGCCTTGGACATACTGCAATAACATTTCTCTTATTGCCTCTGTGCATACTTTATGCATCCATTCATCAATGAAAAAGGTAACTTTTGATGAATTATATAATAACTTCTTAATGTAAGAATAGTATTTCCTCAATTTTTAAAATAGTATTGTGATGTTAGACCTGCAGACAGGATATGCTTTTAAATTTCACCATCATTTTTAACATTTTCCATTACTTTCTTAAGTTTTGAAAATCAACAAATAATAAATCAAGAAATAAAGCTCTGACCCGTGGTGTTTACCAATTTCCACAGTGTAATGTTGTCACTGTGGCTGAATTTAAGTTGCCAACATAATAGCAGTGAATGGGGAGTTAGGAAGAAATATGTCATAGCACAACATAATTGATATTTCATTAAGCAAATATAATGGTCAAAGTTACCCCAGGAGCATGAATAACAAGAAAATGAAATAAAATAATCATAAAGTGGTGAGTTTTGACTATATATTTATTTTTATTTTACATTATATTTTTATGAAAATTTTATACAAATTAGTTTTAATAATAACTGGTTCTTAAAATTCCTGAAGCTCACCAATCACCTCTTATGAGCTAGTGTAAATCAACTTTAATACACCATTTGGTAAGACCCTGACTGATACTGTACAAGTAAATATCTGTCACCCAACCTTCTACACATTGGTTTGTCCTTGACATTTCAAACACATGAAGGTCAAATATCCTAATCTACTATTTCATGACAGCAAAGCTCTGAAGATAGCAGATCTTTACCATATTTTAGACCTGGACCTGCCATCTATAGTTTTATTTATCTTACTTTGAATCACACATTTCCCTTCAAAATAATTACTATATTTAATTAAGGGGGAGGTTATCTTAGATTCTTACATTTCTACTTGGGACATAAAATAATAAATAATATGCATTGTTTTACTTTTTCGGGGGAGGTGCCAGGGATTAAACCAAGGGAGTGTTTAGCCACTGAGCCACATCCACTTTTTTTTTTTTTTTTTTTTTGAGACAGGGTCTCACTCAGTTGCTGAGGTTGGCTTTGAACTTACAATCTTCCAGCCTCAGCCTCCTAGTCATTGGGAAAATAGGTATGCACCAATACGCCCAGCTTGTTTTACCATTCTAAAATCTGAAAAATTCTCAGTTTGGATTCACATCAGTTTCCAAAGATTTTAAATAACTGATTATGGGCTTATACTGATCTTCATAAAATGTCAATACATTTGCTTTTTGCCAACCCTTCAGTGTCTTCACATCATTAATGGGATAGAATCTCAGTTTTTTTAGCATAATGCAAAAGGCCCATAAGCATTTACTTCTCCAATTTCTCCTCCTGAGATTCCCACGTTGTCCTCCTCCATCAAACTATTTCTAGGAGTCTGACCAACCATGACTAATGACTGAATTGAGCTCATCAATCACTGCACACCTGCATCTTACACATTTTGGAAAGAATCAGAACCCAGTCAGCCTCATGACTACTAGAGGGGTGTTGTCCATCTTCCCCGCTCTATCACATCTACCTCTCCATCTAGCCATTTCATGCACCCCAACCTCCATTTCTCATTTGTAAAATGGTGATCATAAAAGCAACAAGGTGCAGGAAGTTGAAGCAAATTTACAAATGTAAACATATGCTTTAATGTGCCATGTATATTAAAAGGYCTTTTACATTCATCATTCTGAAACTGGAATTCTTATTTAAAAGCAGATATACTTCGAATTACTGGAAGAGCAACCAGAGAMATCTCATCTCCATGCAGGAGCTGAGAGTCAATATGCATGAAGCCCCATCATACACAGAAGTGTTATGAGAGGGTCTTGTGTGGTTGGTGGGATTAAAGAAGTTGGTCAACATTGWGGATTTTATAATTCATGGGACCTGAATGAATGAGTCTCTCTTCTCTATAAAATAAAGAAGCAAGGGGCAGGGTAGTCCCAGGMTCTCTCTTTCTGAGCTTGTATGTTTGTTTGTTTGATTTGGTTTTTATTGTTTTGCTGTTGCTGTTTTAGCAGTCCGTTTTGTTTGTTTTTATTGCTACTGTTTCTTTTCCCTTTCCCCATATTGATGTCCCACAATCTCTAATCAAACAAACAAAAAGACTTAACTATTCAAGACCTTTGGAAGCTTCTGTCAACCCTCCTCTTTCTGACAATGGGGCCTCCCTCCTGTGTCTGAACAGTCACAGTGACTGAGCCTCATTCATTTAGTTCAGAAGACAGCCCTTCCCATTGCACAAGACCCCAAAGGACAAGCTTTAAGGTTTAAGTAGCAAAGAGAAGAAAGTAGCAATTCTCACCATGGTGGAAATGACTAAAATCAGAACCTTTCTTGAAACCATCTTTTAATTGGAAGGAGAAATTAAAGAATTATGGCAGAGAGGCAGACTGAAAAGAATACCAAACCCATCTCATATAAAGTGAGATCGGTTCCAAACTGTAGGAAAGAAATGTGAAAGCAAACATGATTGCATGGAACCCCATGTACACAAGATAGATCACTCATTTTTGTCCTTAATTTAGATGAGTACCAAAAAATAAAGGAGAAATGGAAAATGAGTCTATAGATAGGCTTTACCCATTTCAGAACTTCTTATTAGATTCAAAACTGGGTTTAAAGTTTGGGTCTTTGGGACATAGCTGTTCATATTTATCTGAAAACTAATGATTGTACTAATTATTGTAGTTCATATTAAGTCAAGCACCTAGAATTATGGTGCTAAGCTTGCATGCAGATTGAACAATCTGATTTATCTTTGGACTACTTATATCTGCAAGTCTTTATAATCACTAAACAAACATCAAACAAACAAAAAGGCACATTTTTATACAAATAAAACCAAACTTTTAAAATATACAATATTAATTAAGTTAATGGTCCATCATTTGAGAACTCAAAAAGGGTTACAACTAGATTTTGAAAGGCTATATTTGTGTATTCTTCCTTATAAGAGAGATGCATTACCAAAACAAATTAGGTTAAGAATTTACTTYTGATTGTACCTCTAGAATCTATGTGGACATCGTCCTAATTAAAGTAGGGTTTATATTTGCTTAAGTCAAATTTTACTCTGTGTAAGGAGAATGGGGGGTAGGAATAAAATGGAGACTGTTAAAAGTAAATTATTGAAAAGCCTGAATTATAGGCTTCCCTTTTCATTAAAGTCAACTCAGAAATGATAGAGGTGGAATAGGATGCAAATGAAGGTAGAGACAACAAAAGATGAAGAAGGGGAAAGGGAAGGAGAAGATGGAAAGGAAGATGGAGAGGAGGAGGATGGAGAAGCAGTCTTTAATTGATAGTTCATGCTTGGGAATAGAGGAGGACACTAAAGTAAATCTCACTATCGTGTATATCCAAAAGACACTAATTAAAAAAAAATACTATAAGTAAATAACAGAAAGAGTTCAGTAGAGAGAAGGGAACAGGAGGGAGGAGGGTAAAGAAAAGAAAATTACTGGGGGCTGAATTAGAGCACATTACATTCGATGCTTTTATAATTATGTAAAAATGAATCCTAATCTTATGTATAATGAAAATATATTTAAAAAGAAAAGAAAATCCTCTATGTTATAGACACTTTGCAGATATTATCTTATTTAGTCTTCTAAAGAACCATTTTATAGATGAAGAAACAAAGACTCAAATTGGACAGGCAAGTTGTATTTCAAAAGTTCTATTCATCCAATTCTGGGAACCCATTTGAAAGAATAGTATAAAATAGAGATTAATCAGACAGACTCACAGGTAGTTTGGCTCTATTTCCCGTTAGTTGAGGCATGTGTTCTGCTGGCCTGGGATGTTAAACTTTCAAGTGTTGCCCTCTTTCAACTGAGTTAAATATGTCTGACTTAACTAAATTATTCTTCCCTCATAGCATAGGAATCACTGAGCCTCTCTGTGGGATTCTTTGGCAATCAGGTTACCAGGYCAGAAAACAGAAGTTATTGAAAACATTAAGTGTCATAGAAGGATATTCACATTTTCCATTTAATATTATGTGTTCTGTCGTAAATAAATAAATTAATTAATTAAATAAAAGAGTCGCCTCTTTCCCTTATCATGTGGATATTTTGCTTTTTATTGTAAAAAACATGAAATCACTAATATTCACTGGGTGGGTAAAGAAAGGGTCACTCACACAATAGTTTCTAGGCACAACAAAAAAGTAAACATCTGCATGCTGAAAATTTGCAATGAGAACTCTCATCACTAAGATAAGCCTTGAGGGGTAAATGCGGGAGGGTAATAATATAAGGACTTATGTGTTAGACTTGTTTTTTATCCTAATTTCCACAGGTGGCCTGGTATGCCTTCTTATATGGCTGACTGTACATAAAATACAATTTAAACTATACAAGTTGATCCATTAATTCCCTTTCCTACTCAAAGCAATTCAGGGAAGGTACCATTCTTGAAGTTGCACATTTATTCTACACACTGCCAGCCTGAGATCTTAACCTTGAACTCTACTTTCTTGCCRTTACACTGGAATGGAATGATTAATAGCCCAACATGGTTATAGGAAATGAGACTAGAACTAGAGATTTAGGAAGTTAATGCATCAGTCATTGAGAGCCATGCCACAGGCCTGCCCTGAAGTAGTCTTAGTAATGGCCAAACAAGAGGACCAGCCCAGATAACAGCAGGAAAAGTCCAAACTGGCCATTTGATCAGCCATGAGACAGAAGGAACTTGTGTTCCTAGATGGAAAAGCCAATCAATTCTTATATAGCAACCAGAAGACAATCYATCAGAGGTTCATTTCTTTTTCTGCTATAGTGATGTCAAGGAAAACATTTCCACTCTAGTTCCTTTGGCCATAGCTACTCACTCTGTCAGGAGCCAGAAGCCTTGAATGGTCTCTCCATAAGTCTCAGCTATGTGGCCTTTCAAGTCCTCCAGGGCAGTCTCAATGGCCCCTGGCTGCAGGGAAGGAGAAAATACCTAGTTTAGAGAAGATTAGGCCACTTTGTTAGAATATCCCAGATTTGTTAGATTAACCCAGCCGTTCCTCCACAAAGCAATTCAGGGAAGGTACCATTCTTGCAGTTGCACATTTATTCTACACACTGCCAGCCTGAGATCTTAGCCTTGAACTCTAGTTTTTACCAATTTGCTGAGCATTGGTGAAGCAAAAGTAATCCAAGTTTTCCTCCTACTTTCTCATGCAAATGCAGACAGCCATTTTCAGAGGACCAATTTTACCAAGTATGTTAATCAGGAAATTTCAAGTATTTAGAACTGTATACATTTTTAAATCAAACCTTTCTCTTAGGAGAGTACTTCAATAAAACAGAATAGCATTTTTCTTCCAATGCTTTGATCATAAATTTTAGCTCATTCTGAGAGATGAGCTTTTTTTTTTTTTTTTTACCTTTTTGCCTCACTTTCTTGGCTCTTTCCCAAATAAGTGTTTCTGCTTACTGGCCTAGTTCTACTTATTGATCGATACCTATCCTAATGAAGCCTGAACTAGACTGGCAGTGAGTCTAGATAGGTAAATCAAGTCAGATCTGATCAGGGAGGCCAATTTGAGTCCAGAAAGTTGGAGAAGGATTGAAATGATAATGCCTTCAGAGACCTTCATTCACCCTCACCAAGATAACCTGCCCCTGCTCCAACCTGCTGCTAAGGTAACCTGTCCCAGGGATTGTCCCTCCCTAAGGGAGTTGTTAATTAGGCCCTCTTCCTGTCCAGATCATTTCTCCCCAACCCCTCCAGCCCACCTGTTTCCCACCTTTKGGCCATCCTACCGAGGATCTCCTGGGCCTAGTCCCTGCTCAGGAAGAAAAAGATAAGGGGAAGAGACCAGGAGAACAAAGGAATCCTAAGACATATAAAAAAAGGCAAAACCCCTCACTTCTTGGGATACCAGGATACTAGCTATGGCCCCCTTCTCCCTCCAGGGAGAAGTCTATGTTACCCTTTTTAAACAAACCCTGCTTTATATTCTTGCCTCAGCATGCTTCCCTAATGTTGTACTTCAACAGGTGAGGGAGCAGAATTCATCACTGGTAACTAAGAGTATCACTGATAAGTTCATACTTTCTAGCTCAAAGATCATAAACTTTGGTGCACATGGAAATCACCTGGAGTATGTGTTGGAATACATATTTATGGGATCATCCCAGAATTTCTTATTCTGTCAGTCTGGGTCAGGAAAAAGATAATTTGTATTTCCAACAAGTTCCCAGGTGATGTTGTCAGTGTGAAGTTTGTACTTATAAGAATCAATGCCTTCAAGGCAACTAACTATTCTCAGTCCTTGGTTGCACACCAGAATTGCCAGGGAGGTTTGAAAAATCCTAACACCAAGGATGCAGACTAGAACGAGTATACCAGAAATTCAGTGGATGGGGCCCATGTCTAAGTATACCAGGAAATTTAAAGCATCCCAGATTATCCCTATACCCAGTCAAGGTGGAGAACCACTATAGCCTGAGACTTATAAAATCTAAGCTGTTTTATTTTATTGATAAGAAGAGATTACAAGAAAATTGACCCTTCATTTTTGGGTATCTAACATGGTGCTGACTTTGTTCCCAGCACTGGGCTGCAGTAATGACAATTCAGTTGTAATATCTCATATGTATTCTCTGTATAATAGGACTTTAATACCAAATATCTAAACTGCTGTAAATATTAACATTCCTAATCCTCTTAGTATAAGACCCTCCTCTCACAAAAGGAAACAGGGACCCTAGCCTGGCCAGGACTGATTCAAATACCTGCTGGTTGTATGATTATCATTTGCTTGTTTTTTTCTACCTTTGATAAAAGGCTCTGAAACACTTAGAACATAATGTCCATTTGTTAAGGAAAAGATTATGGGAATCTATCTATGAAAAACAAGAAAGGAATTGAGCTGCTTCAGCTGAAACGAGGGTAAATGATACAGTGTTACTTACTTAGCTCCTCCCCAAGCCCATCATCCAGGAATGAACAGCATTGAGTGACCTGGGTTCATATTCCAGATCTGTCACTGATTAACTCTGTGATGATATCTAATTATTTGATTTTCCTGGACCTCCATTTCTTTGCCAGTGAGATGAGAGACTGGACTAAGCCAAAATTTTATGAGACAAGCTGATGAGCAAAACATCCTATAAACCTTCAGGGAAATATGATCAGAGCCCTTAGAGTGAGAGACTCTGATTCCATCATTTTAACAAGTTTCTCACTGAGTTGGATAGTCAGCCTGTGGACTGAGTGATTTCTAACTCTCTCACTGTCCGCTGCTGGCTAGAGAGTTGTCAGAGAGCTAACATGGCCTCCCAGGCTTGCTGAAGCCTGTCATGAAATCAGTAACTTCTGGAACATTCGTCCAATGCACCTTGAACTTCTGCTAACTGAGAAGTTGGTGCCAACATCACTCATTTCCTGAGATTCTGCCGGCAAGGTTAAACTGCCCTGAAGGGAAATTCCCATGATMTCCTGACCGTCCTCCCTTCACCGAACCTGGGCACCCGTTCTGCAGTCTGACTTTTCCAAGTACACTGTTCAAAGTTTTCTTAAAAAAAAAAAAAAATAATGCTTCTTTGATGAGTCAGCATGGGTACTTTTCTCTCTTTTTGTATCACAGAATTTCGGCCTCTCACGAATATAATTCAGTAGTGAGACTAATAATTTCCAGAAAAAAGTGAAGTTGGAGAATAATGAAATAATACCCAAATAAGCATTTTATTGAATGCTTTTATGCCAGGTATTTTGCCAAAATATGTGAAGATAAATATAATAATGTAGAACATTTTCTAAACCTTACTTATCTTCCCTATGTAAAGTAATAGGCAAAATCAATGAAAAAGAAAAATGATTTGCATTTCTCTAATTGCCAGAGATATTGAACATTTTTTCATATGTTTGTTAATTGATTGTATAGCCTCTTCTGAGAAGTGTCTGATCAGTTCCTTGGCCCATTTGTTGATTGGATTATTTGGGTTTTTGTTTGTTTGTTTGTTTTGGTGTTAAGGTTTTTGAGTGATTTAAATATCCTTGAGATTAGTGATCTATCTGATGTGCTTTTGGTAAAGATTTGCTCCCAAAATGTAGGCACTCTATTCATCTCACTGATTGTTTTTTGTTTTTTGGTTTTTGCTGAGAAGAAGCTTTTCAGTTTGAATCCATCCCATTTATTGATTCTTGATTTTAATTCTTGCGCTATAGGAGTCTCATTAAGGAAATTGGGGCCTAATCTAACATGATGAAGATTAGGGTCTACTTTTTCTTTCATTAGATGCAAGGTCTCTGGTTTTTTCCTAGGTTCTTGATCCATTTTGAGGTGAGTTTTGTGCATGGCAAGAGATAGAGGTTTAATTTCATTTTGTTACAAGTGGATTTCCAGTTTTYCCAACACCATTTGTTGAATCTTTTCTCCAATGTACGTTTTTGGCATCTTTGTCTAATATAAGATAACTGTAGTTATGTGAGTTAGTCTCTGTGTTCTTTATTCTGTACCATTGGTCTATAGGTCTGTTTTGGTGCCTATACCATACTGTCTTTGTTACTATTGCTCTGTAGTATAGTTTAAGGTCAGGAATAGTAATGCCACTAGCTTCACTCTTCTTGCTAAGAATTGTTCAACATCTCTAGCAATTAGAGAAATGAAAATCAAAACTACTTTAAGATTTCATCTCACAGTCAGAATGGCAGCTGTCAAGAATACAAACAACAATAAGTGTTGGCGAGGATGTGGAGAAAAAGGCACACTCATACATTGTTGGTGGGACTGCAAATTGGTGCAGCCAATATGGAAAGCAGCATGGAGATTTCTTGGAAAACTTGGAATGGAACCACAATTTGACCCAGCTATCTAACTCCTTAGTCTATATCCAAAGGACTTTAAAACAGCATACTACAGGGACTCAGCCATATCAATGTTTATAGTAGCACAATTCACAATAGCTAAATTGTGGAACCAACCTAGATGCCCTTCAGTAGATGAATGGATAGGGAAACTTTGGTATATATACACAATGGGACATTACTCAGCATTGAAAGAGAATAAAATCATGGCATTTGCAGGTAATGAATGGAGTTGGAGAATATAATGCTAAGTGAAGTAAGTCAATCCCCAAAACCAAAGGCTGAATGTTTTCTTTGATATGAGGATGCTGWTTCATAATGGTAATGAAGGGGGGGCATGGGAAGAAAGGAGGAACTTTAGATAGCGCAAATGGAAGGGAGGGAAAGGGAGGGGTCAAGGAGGTAGGAATGATGGTGGAATTAGTTAGACATCATTACCCTAAGTACWTGTATGAAAACACAAATGGTGTGAAAATACTTTGTGTATAATCAGTGACTTGAAAATTTGAGCTCTATCTGTATGATATTAAATGATATATGATATTAAATGATATATGCCATCGTATATAACAAATTAGAATAAATAAATAATAAAAAATGATCTAACCTTTAATCCAGATATTCCACTTCTGAAATTCAGAAATTTCTGCATATGTGCAAATGACAAGTGTGTATTCTTTGCAGTCTTGTTTTGGGGTAGCAGCATTTGGGGGGGGAAAACCATAAGTACCTATGAATAGGGTACTAGTGAGATATATTTTGATGTAAATTTATACAAGGTAACATGACAAAGGAATAAATATAATGAAGGAATTTGTGTTAATATAGAAAGATTTCCAAATATGTTATCAAATGAAAGGCAAAAGTTATCAGAAGAGAGAATAAAATAGGCCACTTTCTGCGTAAAAAGAAGTGGAAATAAGAACTAGTATTCCCACTTACTTGCACTGGCCTGAAGAAGCTCTAGCAGGGTCTATAAGAACTATTAAGAGTGGATTCCTACAGAGGGAAGAATTGATGGAAATGGACAAAGGTGATGTTTTACTGCACACCTTTTTCAAAAGTTCAATACTAAAAATGAAGTTTTTTCTTTACCAAACCGGTTGGTAGCCTCTGGAGCT